TCCGCGAGTCGCGAGAACGCACGGCGCGAGGACACTGGTCTAAACAACGCTAAATAGTGAAGTCGGTTGGTTTTGGGGACGATGTCGTTTTGCCTGGCAGCGATGCTATTGTTATTCCCCGGGCTCCTCTCCGTTTAGAAATTGCAAAACGGCACGTCCGAGCTGCGGAGGCCTCGCGGTAAACCCGACACAAACCTGGCCGCATCGAAGTTCCGATCCGAAGCTGGAGTGTTCGTTAATTGACCGTCACGTAATTTCTCTATTTACCCTACACCAATGATTGAACGAACTATCTTCGTGTTTTCACTTGTTACGTCTTCTTTTTTTTATTTGTTTGTTTGTTTGTTTATGTACCATCGAAAGCCTCTTAGGTAAAGCTCGGAAAAAGTTGCGGCGGATACAGCGCGCGTGACTCGACGAGAGGAAAGCTGGTCAATTCGACAAATTGTTCGTGTGTGAACGTACCACCGCGACGTCCGCGGAGGTTTGGCAGCCCTGTGTTCTTGTTCGCAACTAATAAACTATGGCATACGTTAGAGCTCGGAGCTGTCCACTCCAAAGATACCCGGCTAGAACAAGTTTCCCTTAATATCGTCAATGAGACCTCTAGAAACATCTTTTTTTTTTCTTTTGTTAGTCAAGTGTACACTTTTCCTTCTCGTTGAGGAGGTTATCGATATCTTAACTTCGAAAAGGTGAATAGTGTGTAAACTTCGCAGATAAAAAGAAGAAAATAAAATGCAGTTTGTTTACGAGTCCATCTCAGGTCTTGAACTACCGACATTGTGAATCTACGACATAGTGGCGCCCTCTTCGAATAAGAACGGTGATGTTTGGAACTACTTCCACTTTGTTCACCGGAAATGCATTGTTATCCGGCAGTACAGTAAGTTTCAATGTTCTCCAAAGAGTACTTCGAATGTATCAGAAGTTGTTTTCTGTTATCACGTTTACACTGAAATATTCAATTAGTATCCAGGACATGTTGTCTAGCCAGGTATTATGCTTTGGATCAAGATGGTAGCTCTATTTAGAATGTGATGACAGAATCAGCGGGTGCACGGAATGGTCGAAATACGTTTTCCTTTCCGTCAGCTTGAAAACACGCATTCGTGGTTTGGGTCCACAGGTGACATCTTAACACGAGTATGAAAAACAAGGGAAGCAAAAAGGATGTTACTCGTGGGCAAAACCTCGAATAGAAAGTTTCAAATGCTAGACCGAATGTTTACGCCCTATAATCCGTGTGTGACAATTTGTGTCACCGATAGATAGAATTCCCGGAGGTAAATTCCTTTAATTGCTTTGTAGGAAAGTAAGTACGCGATTGACCGACCGTTACGCCATTTTGAAACCGTCTTCTTATGTTAATCTATGGGAACGACTTAGTACGTTGCATCAACTTACATATGTCATTCGGATTTGAGACACGCTAAACTGATTTTTCTTTTTTCTCTTTCCCTCATTAAACGATGAAATCGAAACTACGCCATTCAGGACACGTGTCTAATCAAATCCGAACTGTAGCAGTTCACGTTCAGTTCGTCCAGCGTAGGAACGTTGATGCTGTCCTGTAATCTTGCTCTCGAAATCGCTTGTATCGTTACTATGTACTTAATATCGGTTCTTTTTCACTCAGAGGTTAATCGACATGCGTTACTTGGAAGTAAAAATCGGTTGATGGACTTCGACGAGCGAACATGTGTGTGTCACTTGGGACCTCTGGTCACTGACGTTGACGGTGATCACTGCTTTAAAATGCGACTGAATTAAGGTCGTTCGTTAAAAACTTCTTTAGAATCGGTTCGTTCGTGAACATCCGGGGGAAGAAGATAACCGTTGGTTCTGTTAGCGTTTCAGTTTGACTGAGCTTCAATTCGATTCGAGTGACTCACTATGATCCGTCTTCGTAAAATTATACAAAGGAAGACGAATGGATTCGTCGGAGAAAGAAACTGCGGATTAGCAAAAGCATGTTCTATCGTTTTGGTACGACTGTTCCTTACATGTGTTGTGATTTCTAGTTCCCCTCTTAGCGTCTGCTTTATCCTGACTTTTTTTTTCATGTGGGTTGACGTTCTATCTATTTACACGGGATTCATTCTATCACGAGAGCACAGGACTAATCTCGGTTGCGTCCTTGCAGTCTTGAATAGATATCTGAGCTAATTCATTTACTACCTGTTCCTGAGTAGCTGTCTCTGATTTTTTTAATATCGTGTATCCCTGCTGCGCGTCTTCGTTTTCACCGTTAGATTTAGCGTTGCTCTTCGCTTGTCCATTCGTTTTTCGTTTACCCGAAGTTTCCTCGTTGGACATGCCTGGGTGAATTTTGAAGACACTCTTGATGATGCTATTAACCGTTGTCTGAGAACGTTTCGGGCTGTCATTCTTTTGGTCGGAGACAAACCTAATCCGAATCGTTCTATTGCTCTCTGTATTTTCTTTGTGCTTGTTGCCTTTCATCACAATGGTCTTTGATTTCGAGTGCTTCTGCTCGGATGAGTTTTGACCGTTTGGAACGTCTGCGGTCTTCGTCTCTGGCACCTTTTCCTCCGAAGGAGCCACGTCTTCGGTACAATTCGGTGTATCTCGTCCTGTGGTCGTAGAAACCTGTTCCACGACACGACTGTCATTCGATTTTCGAGATGGCTCGAACCCTTCGTTATCGGAATCGTTATTCTTCTTCACGTCTTCGTCCAAATCCGTTACTTGAACATTCTTCGTCTCTTCGGTCGAACTCTTTTCCGAGGATACTTTATTGTTATCGGCGTGATTATTCATGTTGTCTTGTCTATCGTTTAATGGCAATTCCCTTTGTAACACCTTCACGGGACTCTTCGGTTTTGTGCTGTTGTCGGAAGCATCTTTATTTTGACAATTTGTACACGAAGACTGTTTGGAATGAGTCGGAGAATTCACTTGTCTCTTACTAGCGTTGTTCTTCTGGGCAACACCCATATGCGGTCTACCTAATCTCAAAACGTTAAGCGACGAGGTGGTCTGACGATTAAACGATGATGGTGGCTCGTACTGAGGGATTAATTGAGCGCGATTCAAATGGATTTGCTGTTGCTGCTGCGGTTGCATCCTGTTATTGAAGTCAATGTGCATTGTGTTATCCATTCGTTGCTGATAAGTAATGTACGATTGATACGGTGTTCCTAAATTCTGGTTCATTGTTGGATTCATATTCGCGTTCGTGCTCGGACCGTAATTAAGATTTGTGTTGGGATGCATATTTGAGTTTACGTATTGAGGTACCATCTGTCTGGGTAACTGCTGAAACTGATACTGCGGACCTGGATACGCAGGGCAGTTTTGTTGCGGGATGTTCTGTACTATGTTCTCTCTACCACGTTCTCTATAATTGTAACGATCTTGTGCAATTCGCGGAACATTCCCGTGATATTGTTGTGGCACTATTTGTCCAGATTGGTACATTTGATCGTTTTGTGGAATTACTGGAGTTTGAGACTGAAGACCATAGCCTTCGTAATGCATACCATCGTTATTCATTGCCCTACCATATGCTACACTTGTATGATACTGGGGAGGTTGTGATGTGCACTCTTGTTGCTGATGATCTTGATATTGAGGATACTGGGGAACTATTGGCTGTGCATCAATCCAAGTCTCTTGCTGAGGAGGAGGCTGTTCCAGGTCTCGCCTGGCTTGTACTACATTCCAAACTTCTTTCAGTTCACCGGTAATATCTCGATCCTTTAGTATTGTGTACTGTCGCGTGAAAATCACTCCTGTATTCACTGTTTCCACAAAGTCTAGTAAAAGCTCAATTAAACTGGAACGCTTCTGTAGCAAAAATAAAGCTGTACTGGAAAGTGGTCTTTATAATTACTTTCAGTAACAATTCTGTACTAAAAGTACCTTTGGATCCTGAGCATTTTTTCCATTAATTCGAAGAACTTCCGGATTAGCCATTACTGCAAACACAACAGCTTCTGCTTTTGTACGAGGTGGTCGTACTCTCATTCCTCCATAAAGTGGTACAGGCTGGGAAGGCTTTAAAGGCATTGCAATCTTTTCCCAAGATAGAACATTTACATAACATGGGACTGTAGTACCCTAAAATAAAACACCCAATTTGTAAGAGAAACTTTGGTTATTCGAATACAAAACTCTGTATGATTTCTATACAATTATCAAGTTTTATAACATTACAGTGATTTCTAATCAATTATGAATTCTTTGCACTCATTCTGTCCAATTTCAGCAAAGAAAGTATACCTGTATAAAATCTTGTATACACATATGTGGTTGGGGAGGATTTTTGAACTGACGAGCGCCATTGCGCTTCATTCGAGTAGTACCACCTTCAGTCATTTTGCAACTAAAAATAAATGTCTATTCAGAAGTTATATCATACGGTGACACTAAAGGTTTACACATGTAATTGCATTGGAATGTATATTTACAGATATTATCTCACACATACTTCATGCTTTAGGTACAATAACAATGTTTTATTAAAAATAGCATTCAATGTTACCATCTTTCTCACATTACCGCAATAAAAAGATCACGTACATTTTCAAATCTAATTCGTTACGTTATCGTCGACGATAAAAACCTACCTCTCGGTGAACCAACACCAAACGACAACATTTGCAGATTCAATTAAAGGGGTACGTAATTATCAGATACAGAGTATCGGTAGTTGGGTCGCGTAAGCATTACCATGCCGTGAATAGAAATAGTAGATGGGGTGGCTGAAAATTCTTAACAACAAATGTGGCGGAGCGAATGCGTCAAATTGCATGCTAGCTCGCATTTATCGCGTCGCGGAGCTTTCGAAGTCGAAAGAATGAAAATTTTCGAAAGAAACGCGTCCGGCAGAAATTCGGCAGCGGTGCTCGAGTACAGAAACAGAACAATTTTTCCGTGATCCGAGATACATTAGAGCCCTCTCTCTGCTCTATCAACGTAGATTGTCAATATAACCTCAAAATAGTTCGAGTTTATACTCTAAATATTCGAGCAAATGTAAACGAAAGGAATATTCATATGACGCAATACGTTACCCGAACGGTATATAATCCTCTATTACGTAAACTCACCCCTCGGACCTGTTTCACAAGTAAAAAACACTCAAACAACCAGGGACACGACACGATACATTATCGGACAGCTTCGGTGGAAAAGATCCATCGCTCCTTTTGTTTATTATTTTTCCGGAGTCTGCGCGATTAAATTGACCACAGGCGCTATATCGCCTTACGTGTACAGCTCTGGAACTAAAACGTCCAAGATGGCCGGGAACGGAAGTCACGCTCAGTGCATGATTGTGAAGTGGTCGAAAAAATTCACTAGATTCAATTTTCATTTTCTATCTAAATTCAATGTTCCTTCACGATCTCGTATACGAATTTGAATTCTTGTATCGTTACTTATGCAATATCGATTTTAAATAATCAAAGAGATCTACATGATCTACATATTTCACGGTCGAATCGGTATGCATAAAATTGGCGGGACATTTTCTTAAGTCGCGTTCAAACGAAAACGTGCCGACACAGTGTGTCCGAAGAAAATTGTTTATTTCGTCGGTCTGTTGTTTATCGGTAAATAATTAATCGCGTGAATTATCGTGAATAGCGCTGCAAGTAAACATCTGTTCTAATGGATCGATGACGTACGTATACATTATCGTACATTTCGTAACGCGTTTTTATTTCAATTGCGGATCACGTTACCACAATACCTACTCCGTGTGACATTTCTAACGCGTTGTTATTTTTGTTGGTTTCGCGACGAATGATTCACCGGCGTTTTACCGTCTCGCTCGTAAGTATATTCCGAGCGCTTTTACCATTCCATGATAACACGCGTCGAGCATTATGCACCGGCAAAATGTATATCGTTACGCAGATTACATTCTCACTGATATTTATTATCACGTTTCACCGTGCGATACACCTCTCCTCGCCGACAGTAAAATCCAGTGTTTCCGTTGCGCAATTTATTGGGGCAGAAATGAAATAAAAATTTTACGAAACATTAGCCAGCGTAATTCGGAATAACGACCGTTTCTGGATAACAGTATTTTCCGTGCTTTTTAACATTAGAACCGCCGAGCACTTAAACTAATTTTTAAAAATTTCTTTATGAAAACTATAAACGTCGATTTATTAAGATCTGAATTGGTTTCGGTTTAGTTATTAGTTAATCAACTTCTTTAGTAATTTCTCAGAGGTGTTCGTGTTTCTTCAATGATCGCAAAAGATAAAATCAAGAAATTATTTTGACCCATTTGGCAGTTAGCGTTAATTCCATCTTCGTCATACGTTATAAATTTCCACGAACAATAGGTTTTGCAATTTTCTACCGCATACTCTTGTATTTGAGGTTATCTTCTCGCATCGGTGTTACATTTATCGTTTTCATATTCGTCACGGTAACACATTCAAAATCTGATTTCTCGTCGTAAAAATCATGGCTGGAATTAAACCTTATTTTTCAGTTCTACGTTCCGAATGAAACAGTGAAATTCGTTTTTAATATATCAGAAGCTTAACCCCTTGTGCAATGAGTGAGACTCGCGATAAAGATTTCTAGACCAATTTAACCCTTAGCACTTCAGGTTGTTTTGTAATCCATCAGCAACTGCAACTAATTTTTATAGTATCTCTAGTGAAAATTAAAAATGCGATAACATTCCTTCAATCTTTTATTTTCCTTCTCAGTACAGAATTTGGATGCGTGGAAAATCTAATAATTTTAGGGTAGTTTCTTTAAGATTCATTAAAATATTTAATATTATAACTGGCGCAATATTGGAGCCTACAGAGTTCAAAGGGTTAACACTAGAATTACCGATCACTTAACGCTTTGCGGTCCGAAGTGCTCTTGGTTTCTCACTTTGAGGTTCACGTCGACGTTGGTTCATTCAATTACAGCTTAATATGACGCTCTACTTATTTATTCAAGAATATTTGGGAGTCATTGAAATGTTACTTTCAAATGGTACAATTGTAATACTACAAATAAATATAGAAAAAACTGTTAAAACAGGTAGAGGTTGCAATGAGATAGAATGTCGAGTCTGACTCGACATAGGACTGCTAAAGGGTTAATACGTTCGCGGACGTGAATACTATAGCATTCATTTTCATTGTGATACAAAATGACATGAATGCTTAAATTTCAACGTTACACATAGAAATTTCTAAGCCGCATTGTCATGAATTTAATTCTATACAGCTTGAACTTTTTCAAATTATGCACTTCAACCCTCGGAGTTGCATTTGCATTTTCCCTATTTTCGCGGCTGATTAAAATTTGTCCGCGAGCGTGTTAAACTGACTGTTACAAACGTCTTTATGAAAACCATAAGCGTGCGTTTATTATTTCAATTGAGTTGCATTTCAGTTTTGCTATTACTAAATTACTTCTGTTAACACATTCACTGCCACGAAAACCTTCAAAGTTTTATGTATCGCTTATTCTTTTACAGCAACGATAAAGAGGAACAGTTTCTCATTATTTGGTACCGCAAACGTTACACTGTTATCTAGTAACTTACTAAATATTACCATTCAACATTAGTTGGACAAATTATAATTACGGTCAAGTAATTTCGAAGCGCCGGTCATCGGTGACCGACGTGGCAGCCAATGCGTTAATTTTTCGTAGAAGCATCTGCAGCTTCTCAGTAATTTGTAAAAGAAGAAACCAGAAACAAGTCATTCTGACCCAGTAGCGTCAATCAACAATCGTCCCAATCTCTAGGATCCAAACGCAGCTACCATAATCATTACCACCGAATCTGTATCTAGATTAATTTACGACCACTAAGAGGACCACATTGACGAAGCACGATCGCACAAACCGTTCTATCGTCGGTTTGTCTATCTCCTCCGAGAAAAGGGAGAAATCCTGAAGATCGTTAGTGGCGCCACTCGCGCAGGCCGTTGTTCGTCGATGTGTGTACGTGGCGTATCAGAAGAGAATCGGGATGGAGCCCCGGTCCCGATCCCACCGTATCATTATGACGCCTCGCAGGCAACTATCGATCCCGATCGATGATATTAATAGTCGCTAACTACAGTCTTCCATGCCGCTCGCGTTCTACAGCGTGTTCCAACGGCTGGCGCAGGCTTTTTTCTCGGCCAGGCCTGGACGGAACCTACGGAAACGCTCGCGCGCGCACGCTCGAGAGCGTTTCTCATTGTGCTGTTCAGCTGGACGATAATCGTGCCCATAAATAAATTTCCTAGTAATAAGAAGAGATGGGAACGGGAGGGAGCAGAGAGGAAAACCTCGCGAGCTTCCGTAATAAATTATAGGCTTCGCGGGACACCGACTGCTCGCAATTACGATCAGAACACTTTCAGTCTCGTCACTTAGGCCTGGGACACTTTTGCAAGATTCCTCGACGTCCTTTTTCCGTGCCTCCTATAAGATCACCCTTGGTTTTTATAGTGAGACCCACTCGGTCACAATACTCGGTTCACCGGCGTTAATGGGTAATCATGGAAATACAGGCTTCTATGCTTTAATCTATAAGGAGACGAAATTCTTCAAGGACTTACTGTATTTTCGAAGTAATAACTTGAATAATGAGGATCTACGATATTCTGCTTTATTGTGCTGGCTCGAATGTTATTTACCGAGGTAGTAAGTCTCCTCTGGAGCTCAGATGGGGATATTACGGCGATGGTCTCGATGGTTAAGCTGTTGATATAAAAGAATTTTACTGTTTTGTTCGCGAATGTGAATCCAACGAATGGCTAACACGATGCAATCACAGCAACAATTGAATAGCATTTTACTTCAATATTGCACACACCAATGCATTATATGCAGTTCAGTGTTAAATATCAAATTTTATAGTTTTACTGCGTCAAATCAAGTGGCGACTCGCACTTCTCGAGCGCAAAGGGTTAGATGTTCCTTTCGCTATTTAGTTATCTGCATTCTGAGTGATTATAACAGGGTTTTTATTTATATATGTATACATGTGAGTACGTAATCTTCTGTTTTGACGCTTGTATATTGACAAATGACGCTGCAACGAAACTTAGTTTGAATAAAGGGAGCGTTTCGCTTGCCTCGGAGAAGCAGTAATCTGCAGAGATCAAGCCATTCATCGTTTGTCGAACGTTTCTACAGTCCTTCGCTATTATCGCAAAAAGGCTCACCAAACGGAAACAGATGAAAAAGATGCCACCTGTAGCAGATCCTCGACATCCCTCAGGATATATCGCCGCGGCACCTGCGTCTCGGCTCCATCCTCGGTTTTTAATTACGGTGTTCGCGCCTGCTAAACAATTATCTTCGTACGTCGGCGAGCGGTTTCGGTTCGGTCCAGTTCAGTTCGATTCGATGCGCGCTCTCCAGCGCGCGTCCACAGCTCTCGCCTATATACAGGGTGTTACAAACGAAACAGTAGACAGCAAACGCTAGAAAAACGTTCTGACAATCGTACACCGAAAACTGAATACTCTTCAAAGGTAAAAAGCTGTCTATTCTCCAGTTAAAGCGAGTGTTCTCGTTTCATACAATGAATCACCGAACCCTTTCCTCCTCCTGCTTATAACATTATAATAATTATATAGTAACCCTGTATTACAACACGCGTATTAACCGTTCGAGTCCCACGCGCCGCGTTCTCGCTCTTCAGATTTCACGTCGAAAAAACACAGCGCGTTTGAACGTTACGGGCAACTGACGACGCACTCACAATCTGACGAAACTCAACGTTTCAGACGCATGCACGTCGCATCGCTACTTTTTCTGGATATAAGTGATCCAAGTAATCCATTTTGTATTTCGTTGTTGCCCATTATGAATTAATATGTATACATAATAGTATTAACATAGATTAAGACAAGCACTATCGCGCTGCTTGGATCTTTTCGCATTCCATTTAGAAAGCGCTATTGCGCTGTTCGGCTTCTTTCGACCGTGTTTTTTTAATACGTTGACTGCCACGAGAACTTCTAGCGTTTTGAATGGTAATACTTATTTTTTAATGACAAAAGCGAATGATACTGAAAATAATTACTAATGGTTTAGTATCACAGTAGTCATACTACGCTATGATCTAGCTACTTATGTTACTAAATATTTTCATTTAAAATCAAGTTTTTTATTGTAATTCTTCAGTAATTTGGAAGCTCCGGTCATCAGTGACCACCGTGGCAGTCAACGTGTAATCTCTGGTACTCAAACGATTAGAAAGGCAAATAGTCCATTGTCGTACGCTGCGACA